GCGTCATTAATACCGCCGAACCAAAGTATGACATGCTGGTAAGAAGTATGACTTGTATCGCCCACAACTCACTTGTGTTCTACTCGTGCATATAACATCTACGCATAAACCTGGCTCGGATGCCACTGTTGGGGAACGTAGTAATTTCAAAAAAAATCCTACGCACATGCAAGATCATGGTGATGCACAACAACGAGAGGGAAGACTATCGTCTACGTATCCTCGTAGACCATAAGTGGAAGCGTTATGAGAATGCGGTTGATGTAGTCGAACGTCTTCACGATCCGACCGATCCAAGTACCGAACGCACGGCACCTCCGAGTTCAGCACATGTTCAGCTCGATGACGTCCCACGAACTCTGATCCAGCAGAGTTTTACGGGAGAGTTCCATCAGCACGACGGCGTGATGATGGTGATGATGTTGCTACCAACGCAGGGCTTCGCCTAAGCACCGCTACGATATGATTGAGGTGGATTATGGTGGAGGGGGGCACCGCACACGGCTTGGAACAATCAACTTGTGTGTTCTCGGGTGCCCCCTGCCCACGTATATAAAGGAGCAAGGGGGAGGCCGGCCGGCCCTTGCAGGGCGCGCCAGGAGGGGGAAAGGAAGGAGGAGAGGGAGAAGGAAAGAGAGGGAGGAAAGGGGGCCGGCTCCCTAGTCCAATTCAGTTTGGGCTAGCGGGGCCGCACGCCCTACCTCCTCTCTTCCACCACTTGGCCCATGAGGCCCAATACTTCTTCCCCGTATTCCCGTAACTCCCTGGTACTCCGAAAAATACCCGAATCACTCGGAACATTTCCAATGTCCGAATATAGTCGTCCAATATATCGATCTTTACGTCTCGACCATTTCAAGACTCCTCATCATGTCCCCGATCTCATCCGGGACTCGGAACTACCTTCGGTACATCAAATCACATAAACTCATAATATCGATCGTCACCGAACGTTAAGCGTGCGGACCCTACGGGTTCGAGAACTATGTAGACATGACCGAGACACGTCTCCGGTCAATAACCAATAGCGGAACCTGGATGTTCATATTGGCTCCTACATATTCTACGAAGATCTTTATCGGTTAAACCGCATAACAACATATGGTGTTCCCTTTGTCATCGATATGTTACTTGCCCGAGATTCGATCGTCGAAATCTCAATACCTAGTTCAATCTTGTTACCGGCAAGTCTCTTTAATCGTTTCCGTAATGCATCATCCCACAACTAACTCATTAGTTGCATTGCTTGCAAGGCTTATAGTGATGTGCATTATCGAGAGAGCCCAGAGATACCTCTCTGACAATCGGAGTGACAAATCCTAATCTCGATCTATGCCAACTCAACAAGTACCATCGGAGACACCTGTAGAGCACCTTTATAATCACCCACTTACGTTGTGATGTTTGGTAGCACATAAAGTGTTCCTCCGGTAATCGGGAGTTGCATAATCTCATAGTCATAGGAACATGTATAAGTCATGAAAAAAGCAATAGCAGTAAACTAAAACGATCAAGTGCTAAGCTAACGGAATGGGTCAAGTCAATCACATCATTCTCCTAATGATGTGATCCCATTTATCAAAATGACAACTCATGTCTATGGTTAGGAAACATAACCATCTTTGATCAACAAGCTAGTCAAGTAGAGGCATACTAGTGACACTCTGTTTGTCTATGTATTCACACATGTATTATGTTTCTAGTTAATACAATTCTAGCATGAATAATAAACATTTATCATGAAATAAGGAAATAAATAATAACTTTATTATTGCCTCTAGGGCATATTTCCTTCATACACATCACTAGCCACTTGGGTATTACCACAATGAGTGGGTCGGGCTAACAATGACCCATATCCATTGTACATTTGAACCATCTAACTAAACGTTGTTTGTTAGCTCTAAATTGTCTTTTCAAATAAATAAAATGTACCCTTTTTAGATGTTTTGAAATATATAACTTAGAAAAAAATCTGATATTTTTTATTTAGTAGTGAAATAAATAATGAAACTTTACTAAAAGTACAAATATTCCAACCAAGCCTTGACTATATTTTTCTTTGCTCCATTTGCACCTTCATTTTCCTTTTCTCCCCGCTCAACAAAGGTTAATAGCTAGTGACAGGACGAATCGGCACTAGTATAGTGGCAAGTGGAGACAATATGTGCTCAATTAAGTGGTAAAGTTGCAGTTGGGATTTTATTAATCCATGTAGGATATTAGAGTTGCATATATATTCATTAAGAAATAAGATGATAGCACGCCATACCTGCATGAATCGACTTAAAATCTAATTGGTATAAGGATCATCAACACAAAATTCAGCGATTCTAAAAGATGACAACCAAACCCAGCCTAGATTAGAGCAAAAGAAACAATATGAGACGTGAAAGTGAGACTCATTCATTATAAAGCTCGAGACGCAACAACACGAGCCAAACACGACTACAATAATGATGGTTGCGACTGATGCATAAACATTACATAGACATATAGGGCACTAGTCTTGATCCAAACTATTTGCACCAGTACCCACCCAAAGCCGATGAAGATACCGCAACCCAGACCATAAAAGGGGGGCATCGAGGAGGCTGGACACAAACCCAAGGAGGCGGACCAAAGGGCGCGTGTGAGAATCGAGGAAGATTGTTGTCTTACATGAAAAGATTCATGAGCTACACTCGAAGAAATTTGATGGAGTTATCTTAATAGTGGATTTTTAAAAATTCTACAAAAAATTTAAATGTCAATTCTTGCAACAATGTATGCGCATGAAAGGCTTCCCGATAAAATGGTGTCGGTGGATTGACTCATTAGTCACAGGAGGCAAAGTGGGTGTCAAGGTAAATAATGGCATTGGTCACTATTTCCAAACACAAAATGGATTCCGACAAGGAGACCCTTTGTATCCTATTCTTTTCAACATTGTGGCATATCTTCTTTGTTTATTTAAGCAGTTATCCAGTCTCAAGATTAACTTCCACAAGAGTGAACTCTTCTACTTCAAAAATGCCAAAGAAGAACAGAATTACTACACACAACTGTTTGGTTGTGAGTGGGGATCTTTCCCCTTTAGATATCTTAGTATCCTAATGCATTTACGTAAACTTCTTAATAAGGAATAGAATGTATTAAGGATCGCTTCGAGAAAAGGTTGATTTTTTGGATCGATAAGCATATGTCTTATGGGGAAAGGCTCACTCCAATCAATGTTTTTCTCGCAAGTTTACCTATGTTCATGTTATCTTCCTTTGAAATGCCTAAAGGGGTAAGGAAAATATTGGATTACTACAGATCTAGATTTTTCCTGAAATTTGATGAACAGAAACATAAATACGGTCCGACGAGGTGGGATGCCATCTGTTGCCCTAAATACCAAGGGGGGTTTGGGGTGCAAGACTTCGAGATTGAAAAAAGTGTGTTGAGCAAATGGCTATACAAGATACTTACGAGGACGAAGTTTGGCAAGAATCACTTAGGAACAAGTACCTTCATTTTAAATCCTTCTTTGAGGTTCATGCAAAACCAACTGACTTGCTTTTCTGTAAAGTCCTGATGGAGGTCGAAAATGATTATTTTTTCACAGAGGGATGTTTGTCCTAGGCAATGGCCTATCTACTAGGTTTTGAGAAGATACAAGGCTAGGAGACATGCCACTAGCCATGCAATACCCTCGTGTCTATGACATTGTGCAGCTAAAGGATGTCCTTGTTGCCCCTGTGATGGGTCAGCTGCGGTTGAATTTTGCCTTCAGAAGGCCACTGATTGGGGAAAATGGACAATCCGGTTAAACCTTGTTAAAAGGTTGATGACGGTCAACCTTTCACATGAATCGGACACATTTCATTGAAAGTCGACTACTTCTTGTGCCTTCATAGTCAAATCCATGTATACAAACCTCATCAATGACGGACAACCTTTCCACCACAAATATATTTGGAAAATGGAAGTCCTATTGAAAATAAAAATCTTCATGTGGCATTTAGATGGCAAGATCATCTTGACAAAAGATAATATAAAAAAAGATTGGCAAAGATGCACTTGCACAGAGTGTTGCTTTTGTGGTGAAAGTAAGCGTTGCTTTGTGGTGAGGAGTCCATTCAGTGTCTATTGCTTCACCGCCCACTTGCCAAGCTATTATGGCGATCTGTTCATATAGTTTTTAATCTACCTCCAGTCACAAGTCTCGGATCGGTATGAAAATTTGGGCTTTACTTTGGGCCATTGAGAACATTTGTAACGATTGTATTTTTAGCAGAAGGAAAGTTCTAAAAAAATTGCAGATTATCTTCAAGGCCATCAGTTGGATCCATACGTGACCGTTACTATGCAAGGAAGAGGATTGGGAGCCCACGGTCTTTGGGTGCAATTGATACGAGATGGTCTCTCGGGATTTGTTCAACCAATTTAGTTGGTGGGCTACTAGTAGGATTTGTGATGTATGAGATTCATTTTTCTACTATTGCTTTTTATTTGCCCTTTGGCAACTATGTGTGGCAGTTATTATGATCAGATATTGACCTCTGAAATAATCGATAAAAGGTTATATGAACCACCCGATGTAGAGGCCGAGGGGTATTCCCTCCTTTCGAAATATATTCGTTTCCGTCAAAAATCGTACTGTAATTACTAGTGCTATTCCTCGATGACAGGTCTACGATACCTCACTCTTTCTTTAGATGGAAGTAAGCACGGTTTTTGTTCCTGGTTGGTTATCTTTGCACAATTTCAACTCCGAGCCCCTTCCCCATCATTCTTGAGATTTGTTGGTTCAAGTCCCAGGAAACGAGGTAGTCCATCAACTTCGCAATTTAAGATAATAACGACTACGTTGACTGGAATCGTAGTAGGAGTATATAATTCATCACAAACCACACCTAGTCGCACACACGTATTCAGTTCCCTCCCTTCTACAAGCTGCTCCGTGCATGAGACCGCGTTCTACCGAACATATTTCAGCCTAAGCACAAGTGCTCGTCATAATTGCCTAGACAACCATGGCGAAAGCACGGCGGTTCGTCGTCCTCGCGCTCAGGATCGCGACGGCGGCGGCGGCCGGCGTCGCGGCGATTGTCATGGCGACGAGCCACAAGACGACCACCGTCTTCGGCGTACAGGTGCAGGCCAAGTTCCAATACACGCCGTCGTTCGTGTAAGTATCTATAGCTGCTGCTCCCAGCTGTTTCCATGTCATCGTGCCGGCTGTGTCACCAAGAACGAACGAAACGCCGCGCGCGCGCGCGTGCCTTGCAGGTTCTTCGTGGCCGCCAATGTCGTCGCGTGCGCCTACAGCCTCCTCGCCATCCTCGTGCCGCCGGCGAGCCCCGCCGCGAGGCACGTCCTCGTGGCCGACGCGGTGAGTTCACGGCGCACCACGCTGCCCGGCCAATATGGCCACGTCTCTGATTAGGTCGTTTTTGCTGAACTCGTTGTCATGAGCTGCAGGTGCTGGGCATGGTGCTCACCGGCGCCGGCGCGGCCGCGGCCGCCATATCGGCCCTGGGGAAGAACGGGAACAGCCACGCCGGCTGGCAGCCGATCTGCGGGCTAGTACCCACTTTCTGCGACCATGTCACGGGGGCTCTCGCATGTGGCTTCGTTGCGGTCGTCCTCCACTTACTCGTCGTTCTCCATTCCATTTACACCATGAACAGCTAGGGCATGTGACCTTTTGTGCCATTTGTCGCTGGTTTTTTATTGCATGGAGAGAATAAATTCGAATATACACGCTCTCTCAGTGGCATATTTGTGATATTCTGAAATTACTTGCAACTTTTTAGACTTCATAATTATGCTAGTATTGCTTTGGTAGAACTAAAGTCTCATTGACCCAGACTATGTAAATTAATTTGAAGGTAATTCTGTGAAATAAATAAGCAAATGTTCTTTGATCCATGAGACAAACAATGTTTATTGTCACTTTGAGTTGGCCAAGATCAATTCTTCATTTGATTATGTATGAACATGAGCGAGTAATGCGAGAGTTAGTTGAGATGTCACTACCATATTCTTGTTTAAACCACATTATTTTGTCATTATAAATTTTCAGTTGAGTCAACGGGGGGGATGGCAGGATCTCCTTTTGGATTAACTAGCAAGGTCCAGTGTTCAAGTCATGATACACACAATCAAGAGCACGTACTAACTAGCCCATGTACAGCTACCCTGAGCAGACTGGTGAAGCTATTGTCCGAACATGTATTCGAATGCACATCGATTGTACAAATATTTAAGAGTCACACAATTCACAAGTGAATTTAATAATAAGATAACACAACACAAGGTTCCAAATCAAAAGGTGTTGAAGGGGAGTACTCCCTCCATCCCAGAATAAGACAATTATTTGGAATGGAGGGAGTATTTATTAGACTGAGTTAGGTGTTGTTAAACGTCCAGTTTTTGCGGGAAAAAATGTTGATTTGCAGTTTGGTTGAAAAAAAATTGAGCTGGAATAGCATATTTAGGTACTGGGAAAGAAGGCATAGGTTTTTTTCAGCTCACAAATCACTTCGATCCCTCCCTCACCCTAAAATTAAAGGGGTGATCTCGTTATTCTTGGTTAAAATGTGTTACGATTTACATGCGACTTTTTGGATGAGTAAAAAAAAAATGTGTTGACAAGGGGTCTTGTGATGCCAAGACCCATTTGACATTTGGGGTCTTCGCCTTGCAAATAAAAAACGACTTTACATGATGAGAGGAATCAGGAAAATGCCCACGAGGATAGCTACAGCCAGCTAGTCAGTGACAGATTAAAAGATATATATGCAAATGCAGGTTAGAAAGACCAAGCGCATCATATTCTAGCAGAAACAAGATCCTGGGGTTGCTAACATGTCACCACCTACATATATAAACAACAAGTGCATTAACTTGCATAATCTTGCAACAATAATGGTCAATACTGCCTCAAGCAAGAACATAAACATACCCCAAATTAACAGTGTGTTTTAAATCCCCAGTGCATGCAAGATTTTGGAAAAGTGGCTGCAACAAGGTTCTCAGCAAGATCATAGATGCTCAAACTAGAGCCTTAATCGTGTATCTCGAAGTACATGGGTGTATTACACCTACAGAAATACCTGTCCCAAAGAAGGATTACAATATTTATGTCAGTGTTGCGAGACATACTTCTGAGATGTAATCGCATTTTCTGCTGGCCATGAACAAAAGCAGCAAGCTCTAAATGTCCAAATAAAATGACTTCAGTCATCATAACAGAAAGATAACAATGCAACCCAGGGCTGACCCAGCATGGGATAACTGTGTTTCCTTCTCAATGGAAGTAACCGAGCACCTGGCCACCCACATTCTGCCTAATTGCTTCCTCGTGATCTAAAACGCCATTTGGGGTGGTCACCACAACATAGCCCCACTGCAAAGCAAATAAGAACACGAAAAGGAAATGTGTTAGAAATAACACACTAGCTCTACAAATAAATGAATAGCACATAATAAAGCAGGACAAATAAGCATTCAGAAGTTAGTTTAGCTATAAGTGCTTCGCTTGACATCCACGCCAGAGATGTGATCGAAAGACATCTGAATAATAAAAGTAACGACAAGAAAGCTTACACTAGGTAACATTATCAGTTAGTTGTTGTTTTATGTAATTTCCCTGAGAATGTTTGCTTCTTCTCACTTGCCAAGTCATCTCTAAATGAAAAAGATGGAGGACTCATATTGCGACAAAAATAATTTAACTGGTAGAAACTAGGGTTCTACCGTGTCTAGGGCGGAGATTGTAGGGGAAGGAGGGGGCTGGACGTGGGCGATCTCGCGGTCGCCGGTGGCTGGGCGCCGTCGTGCGCGAGGGAAGACGCCGCGGCGTTGGCAGGAGGCGGCTAGGGTTAGGTCTCTCGGCTCCCTTCGGGAAGCCGAGCAAATAATGATTGCTTCTTGCTTAATCTCAAAATGGGTCCTTACATGAGTTTATATAATCCTCCTAATGATATAATTGGGCCAAGCCCCTAACACGATAAGATAACTGGGCCAGGCAACTAACTGCCTGGGCTGTAATATATGCCGCTCATAACATTTCTCCCTGCCTGCACAAACAGCTCATCCTCGAGCTGGAAGGCGGGGAAGCGCTTGCGGAACTCCTCGAGGTGATCACCCGTCGCCAAACACCTCCGCGGCAGCTGGGGCGTGCAGGTCGCCAAGCCCGGAGGCGGCGGCGTCCTCCTCCATGTAGTCCGCAACCTCCAGGTAGAAGAGGCGTGGGCAGACATGGCCGGGCACGTAGGGCTCGTCGCAGTTGAAGCACAACCCTTGGCGGCGACGCTCGAGCAGCTCGGCCGAGGTGAACCGGCGGAACGGGCGCGCCGCGGCCGCGGCGAGGGGTGCCGCGGAAGCCTGAGCAAGCCGACCCTGCACGGGAACATCCGACCAGGGTGTCGGCCCAGTGGCCCGAGACGGTGATGCCTGCTGGATGGCCACCGCGCGGCGCTCGAACGCGCATGCGTAGTACATGGCCGTCTAGAGGTCCTGGGGTCCCTGCAGCTCCACGCCCACGCGAATATGATCTGGCAGACCGCCGACGAAGAGTTCGGACCGCTGGCGAGCCGTCACGCCGGGCGCATGGCACGCCAGGGCCTGAAAGCGGTCGGTGAAGTCCTGCACCGTAGAGGTGAAGGGGAGCCGGCAGCCGGCTCCCGCGTATTGGTGGTCCGAAGCGAAGGAGGCAGAGCTCGCGAAGACGCTCCCATGGGGGCATGCTGCCCTCGTCCTGCTCGAGGGCGTAGTACCACGTCTGGGCGGCACCACGGAGGTGATAAGAGGCGAGCCAGGTGCTGTCCGACGCGAGCATCCGTTGCCACCGGAAGAACTGCTCGCACTGGTTGAGCCAGTTGAGGGGGTCCTCGGTGCCGTTGTAGGTGGCGAAGTCGAGCTTGGCGAAGCGCGGCGGGGTCGGGGCCTGACCGCCATGGGCGTACAACTCGGCGGGACGGGGCAGCGAAGAGGATGACGCCGGGTCGGTGGGCACCGGGGGTCCCCCGTGAAACGGCGGTCCATCGTGGCCCACGTAGGCACCCGCGGAGCCGGAGGGCCCGCCGTACTGCAGGGTGGGCGCCGGCTGTTCCCCGGCCATAGTGTAGACCGGCTGCGGCGTCGACCCGGCCAACCAGGCCGGAAGCGGTGATGGTGAGGGTGGGAACCGGACCTGCTGGATCAGAACGCCCGCCGACGCGGTCATCGCTGGCCCGGTGCTGAGCGGCGGGGGTGCCTGTGGCTGCAGCGGCTGCTGCATGGGCGCGACGGGCGCGGCGGGATGAAGCTACAGCAGCTGCAGCATGTGGGCGACGGGCGCGGCGGGAACCGCGAGGGCCGTCGATGGCCACTGAGGCCAGAGTGGAGTGCTGGCGGGGGGCGGCTTGCTGCATGGGGGCGGGGGCGCCGTGAGAGCCGGCGACGGCCACTGCGGCCATTGTAGGGTGGTGGCGGGCGGCGGCTGCAGCGGCAGCTGGGGCTGCAGCGGCCCAGCGAACGCTGCGGAGGCTGCCGAGTGCGGCAAGTACCACGGCAGGGCCGGCGGACCGATGGCGGCAGCCGGCGGCGGGGGTGGCAGAGGCCCGTAGGGGCTGGCCAAGTATAGCCGGATCTCCTGGATCGCTGTGACGAGGTCGTGGAGGACCCCGGTGACCTCCTCCGGGGTGTAGACGGCGGCGGGCGGCGCAGTGGAGGGCGCCGACAGCTGGGCGATGGGGGCGCCGGAGGTGGGGACCAGCGGCGCGGGTGGGGAGGACAGCAGCGCAGTGGTGATGGGCAGCGGCGCGGTGGTGATGGGCAGCAGCGCGGGTGGGGTGGGCGGCGGCGCAGACATGACCGGAACCGAGCTAGCTGATACCAAAGTAGTAGAAACTAGGGTTCTACCGGGTCTAGGGCGGAGATTGTAGGGGAAGGAAGGGGCTGGACGTGGGCGATCTCACGGTCGCCGGCGGCTGGGCGCCGTCGTGCGCGATGGAAGAGGCGGCGGCGTTGGCAGGAGGTGGCTAGGGTTAGGTCTCCCGGCTCCCTTCGGGAAGCCAAGCAAATAATGATTGCTTCTTGCTTAATCTCAAAATGGGTCCTTACATGAGTTTATATAATCCTCCTAATGATATAATTGGGCTAAGCCCCTAACACGATAAGATAACTGGGCCAGGCCCCTAACTGCCTGGGCTGTAATATATGCCGCTCATAACATCAACCAAGTTAGCAAACTTTCTATGGTCTGTCATCAAAAAGAGATTACCTGTGGACTTTTTCACTTGCTTCCAAAAGTGCTATTTGCAACAGGGACAGATGAACATTTATACTACATTCTTCCAAGGCTTGGTTTATATTTACTCAATTACTCAAAAATCTGCCACAACCCGCAATGGCATGTTGATTAGAATGTTTTCAAAAGTTTGCGTACTACTCCCTCCGTTTCTAAATATTTGTCTTTCTCAAGATTTCAACAAGTGACTACATACCAAGCAAAATGAGTGAATGTACACTCTAAAATATGTCTATATACATCCGTATATGGCAGTCCATTTGAAATCTCTAAAAAGACAAATATTTAGAAACAGAGGGAGTAGTAAAAGTAAAATACTGTCTGATCTAGTCAATATTTAGTAGCCCGTAACCATAATGTACATTTCATGATCAGTATTGCATATGTTGTCACTGCAAGTAGCAGAATGGATTCAGAAATAAGCATTTAAACTAGCAAAGGTCTGGCACACCATATCTCACCTTCCTGATTCTCACGGTATGAATAACAGTATCAAGATAACTGTATCCCTCAACTAACAGAAGATATGAATATTCACAAATATCAAATATGAGTTGATAAATACCTGCCGTGTTGGAAGCATCCTAGTTCTGTATTTTTCTATTTCTGTAGCTCTGAGGTCCTGCCTGTAAGTGAGAGCTTTGCAATCTTTAATCCTTCCCTGAAGTTCCACGGTGATTTTTCCAACCCTATGTGGATCGAAGACCTCGAAATTTTTTATGTAACCTGAAAAATGTCCGCAGAGTAAATTCCAGGGAAAATTACCACCGTAAAAGAAATGTTCTCATACCCTCTCAATAATTTGTAACGGCAGTGGGGAGGAGACTAAACAACATTACATGTTCGTAAAGTTTTTTCCCCTTTCTTTTCAAATGCTGAAGTCAAAATGAGAAAGGAAAGGCTGGCACTACCCCAAATAACTTATTTTTTCACTTGTTTTTGATAAATGAAGATGTATAATGCCTGGTGATTCAAATACAAGATTATTACATTACCAGGTAACACCATTCTTAAAAAAACAAAAACAGGGTATTAAAGAAGCATGCTATTCTCACACATAACCTACTCCTCCAAGCAGGTGGAGTTGATCCATACAACACTCTACTGCACCTTTCTCTCCTACCCAAGGATGTTAAATTATGAGTGGTCACAATTTCAGTGCGACAGTTCCTCGCGATGTAACTAGAAGACATTCTTGAAGGTAAGCAGATGAGGCAAGTATAACTAGCTCCAGTACACAATACCATTTTCCCTGAAATTTATTCTTAGAGTGGAATACTTGCACGATTATTTCAACGGTTAAAAGAGATGGCATAATTGCGTCCAAGCTATGAAGTACACAAAGATATGCATATTTATTGGGTAGCTTTGTGTTTTCATACAACTAGAACAAGTTGGGGGACTGAAAGGCTTTGCTGTTGTTGTATGAAGAACACAAAACTACCAACAAATATGCATATCTGATGAATATATCAACTTGCCTTCATCTTTCCAATGCCAACTCACATGTTAACACATTTAACACAAATGCATCCAGAATCTAGACTGACAATAAAAACTCGCAAGTTGTCGAAGAAACCCACGCTACTCTGAAATGTTAAAAATCAGGTGCTTGTAATCTGAAGTTTATCTTAACATGAGAGGGGCAGATCATTTCTGCTGCTCTCTCAGTTAAACTCAGAACTGTAAAATCACACCTCCTTAGTAGCCCATCCCTTCCAAACCACCGGATGTATACACTACCAGTGCGTCAAGTTACCACCAGCAACCTCCTCTCCCATCATGGATGAAACCCTCGGGTTCTTTTTGGACGTAACAGAAGATAAGATGAGATGCGAGGGACGAGGGGGTTTGTGCAGCAGCTGCTGAAAGGAGCCTGATGAGAGGGAGCACGGAGTAGCTGATACCTCGGTGCTTCATGATGTTGAGGAAGGAGATCATGACGCCGGAGATGGGCTGGAGTTGCGCCGTCGCCTTCCCCCGCCGCTCCGCGTTCACCATCGTGCGCAGCGCGTCGTTGAGGATCCTCCGCCCCATCGCTCGCTCGATCTCCTCGCCTCTTCCGCTCGTAGCCGCACCTCTCGGCTCGCCTCTCTACCAGCCGCCGCCGGCGCTCGTGAGTCGTGATGGAGAAGAGAAGGGTGGGAAGCGTTAGGAATGGGCCTGGCTTTCGGGAGAGAGCCTGCCCGTGGCCGAATGTGTGTGTTTTCTCATGGACCTGGATGCTCTTGGGCTTGGTTCCACGAGCACTGTGACGCTGTTTAAACGATTGGATGTCCATGAGGCATCTCTGGTCCATCTTTCTTTTTTAAATTTTTTATATAATCTTATTATATATGCTTATCCTTTATCCCCTTCAAAAAAACTTATCCTTTATTTATTTATTTATTGAGATATTAAAAAAATGCATCTCACCTATTCCTCAAAAACAATGTCAATTCACAAACAATGTAAATAAATGCATCACATTTAAACACAAACTTAAACAATCAATTCGCAAAAGAAAAACAATTAAAATGCACCACGTCATAATTCAACTACGAGCATATGCATAATTCATTCATCCCAAAAAAACTAAAACATAATCATATTTGAGTCACAAAAGGCACCGAATGAACAAGTTCATTCCAAAAAAACCAACAAGCAGATGGTTGATCAGAAGGCATCATCAATTACAAGGGTATCAAGCACTCGTGCCATCGTCGCCGTCACCACCATTGCCACCATCACAATTGTCATCGCCACCACTACCAACTGACTTGGCCAAGATCACCTCACGAGCGAATTCTCAATATCGTCTCGCCCTCTGATCCATATTGTTTGGATCCATTAAGAGCATTTATAGCCGTGATGGGCAGATCTGAGCCTTCAAACGCCCGCGGACGCGCCCGGTCATGTCTGCGGACACTGACCGGTCAAGCCTCAAATTTGCCTTCTTACAACCGGACACCTCAATTACCATGCCTCAAATCCATACAAACACATGCAACTACGTCAAAGCATTACACACATCGTCCGGCTACTACATCACTAAACATTAGCTATGGTGGAGAAGATCATCCACAACTGCCCTTGCCCTTCACGCGCCCTTACTGCCCTTGTCACGGAAGTATCAGTCGAAGACACGGTAGGGATCGAGCCGGATCATCTCGTCGCCGGAGCCGTTGTCGTTGTCCTCCTTCGATGGCAGTCCGGCCATGGCATGGACCGCCCAGTTTCTGCTCGCGTGTGAGGGCGCACGTGTTCCTCCGTTGTCGCTTTTTCATAATGCGGGCGCGGATGGCTTCCTCCTCCGCGACCGCCCGCGTCGCTGCATCAGCCGCCTCCGCTGACGCCATGTCTGTAGTGACTTTGGTGAGTGGCCCTTATCCTCTCCTTCCTGCGGCAGACACTCCGGTCCCGGTGGGACTCAAACTCCACCCGCTTGGAGATGGGGAAGGAGAGATTTGAAGGTTGCCAGGCCCGCGATGATCCAGCCCCAGAGGATCTGAGCGCCAGTTGAGTCGACGCTATGGAGTCGTGCCGGACAGATCTTGCCGTCAGCCGGGCGTTGTCCTCCCGGGAGCGGCGGAGTGCAATGCGGACGGCCATTGCCTCCTCCAACCTGCACGAGATGTGTAACACCCCGGTGTAATGATGCTATAGTAACCCCTGGGGTTAAGTTAATCATTTTGCTAAACAAGTGTTTGATCATCATTGTCTCCTCTCTCTTTCAAATTCTAGTTGAATTCATTTTCAAACTAAGAGTGAAATTCAAAATGCTCAAACATGAAAACTAAAATGTTCATCATGTGTAAAATATTATCCTGGTAATATTGGTGGTGATCCAACTTTTTGCAAAATGCCTATGTGGCCTAAAATAGCTAAAACAGAAAAGCTTTAAAAAGGAAAAAGGAAAAGGCAAGAAGGAGAGGGAAAGCCCCTGCCCCACTTGGGCTTCGGCCGACCTGAGCTAGCTGGCCCAGCAGGCCGGCCCACTCACCCCCCATTCCCCCCTGGTCGCCTCCTTCCCCGCGCACTGCTCCTCCGACCGAGTGGGACAGAGCGCGTCCGTCGCTGTCCAACCACCTCGCCGGCGACGTCCGACGAGAGGATAAGGCCCTGGACGCCTCGACTCCTCCCCACCTACCTCCACTCCCCTCTCTCGCCTCCCAGATCCACCCGCTCCTCCCCCCACTCTGTCTCGCTCGCCGCCTCACCCGAGTGCCATCGCCGCCCTCCACCTAGCACTACCGCGGCGAGCGTCGCCCCCATTCCCCTTCGACGAGTCCACCGGCCTCCCCAACGTCGACTGCTTCGCCTTCTCCCGCTGGAACGAGCTGGGAGGCCCTCCTCCGTCTGCATCGACGCGGATGACCCCCTTCTTCAACCTCTGACCTCCATCGTCGCCGCCATTGAATTCCAGCCACATCGAGCCTCCCCCGAGCCCGCTTTGCACATCTGCAGGAGCGCTGTGAGCTCCTCTCCTTCTCCCCTCATTCCCTACTCATCCCCGCGCTCGTAGCCGCCGACCACGTCATGGCCGTACTCGCCGCCGTAGACGAGCTCGCCGCCGTGACCACCGTAGCCCGAGCTCATGTCCGAGCTCGTAGACGAGCTCCTGGAGCTCGTGCGAGTCCAACGAGACCCCTAGTGCACCTTCCCGTGCCATGCAGCGCCGTATCCGACGATGCCCGAACTCTAGCGTCCGCTCCGCCACTCGCCGCTGCCGTTTCCGGCAAAGTTCGGCCATACCACCACCACCACTCGACGCGCCATCGAGTGGCCGTTCGAATGGACCAAGCCGCGCGCCGAACGACGCCGTGTAGTGAAATCCCGACGAGGCCCAGGTGCCCCCGCCGCGTTCTGACGTCGTCGGCGGCGAAACGCCGGCCGCCGCCTACGTGGTTGGCCTGGGGCCACCCCAGTGCCACTGCCAGTGAGCCCCACGGGCCCAGTTGACTGGGTTGGCCCAGTCAACTGCTGACTGGGTAGCCCCGTGTCCCTGACAAGCGGGCTCCACCGCACAGTTAAGTTAATTAAAACATTTTATAATTAAAACTAATTAGTTAACCTAATCAGTCACTGACATGTGGGGCCCAGCTGCTAATTAACCATGTTTAATTAAAATAACCCACTGTTAGCCCTCTGTCTATGACAGGTGGGACCCATTGGTCAGTTTGACCAGTCAGCGGGTCTGTTGACCTGCTGATGTCATGCTGACACTCTGCTAACGTCTTTTTCTCTTTTCTGTTAATTTAATAAATCCAGAATATTGCTTTAATCTTTGAAAAATCATAGAAAATAATCCGTAACTCCGATGAAAATGTTTTCTACATGAAAGTTGCTCAGAAAAATCCAACGAATCCGAATACGCGATCAGTTCATCTATCACATGCCCCTAGCATGCTAAACATGGAACTTTCCCCCTCTTTCCTCTGTCCGGAATCCAACTAACGTTGGGAATTCATCCTCGGATGTTTATTCCCTCCGTCTGCAACGTGTAGTACTACGTTAGGACAACCCTAGCTCTCCCTATCGTCTTGTTATGCCTTGTGATGCATTGTTTGCTCTGTATTTACTGTTTCTTCCCCCTATTCTCTTCGGTAGACCCCGAGACCGATGTTGCCCCTGTGATCGACTACGTAGACGATGACCCCTCCTTGCCAGAGCAACCAGGCATGCAAACCCCCCTTGAGCATTCTGATATCGCCCATTTCTTCCCTCTCATGCTTGCATTATAACTGCTATTGCTTTCTGTATGATCCTACTCTGATGCATAGCCTGTTGTTGTTACTTGCTTTCATACCTTACCTGCTTATCCTAAACTGCTTAGTATAGGTTGGTTAGAGATCCATCAGTGACCCCACCTTGTCCCGGTTGCCTCGCTTTATGTTCGATGACTCGATCAACGTGATCGATGTCCAGGCCCCGACACCGCACATCACCCCCTAGTTGTACGACTCTACAGAGTTACCATCGAGTGCCGAGGGTGGAACCTCTTACATCACTCCTAATGAGATCTCTGTAGTGTAGCTATCCGGTCGTGGTCATCGAGGGTGATTTCCTCCTTAACTACTTCCGATACGGCTCTGTCGTGCAACCCCTCAAGTGTGAACCTCGAGGGTGGATCCTCTTACGTTCACCTTGATGATTACATCGAGTGGAATATTCACCGGGGGTGATTCCTCGGGGTTTCCCCTTGGTGTTAGACACACAGTTACTATGGTTACTATGACTTTGCACTGAGCCATGTTATTAAAGATGGGTCGGCCCTGAGGGGTACCCACGCGAGCTTAATTGCGAGTGATGTGGAGTCGGGTTGACCTGGAAGGTGCCCGCGAGATACTTACGAGGCGTGGCCGGACATTCTTAGCCCTTGCCGCAAGTACTCAAGACGGGGCAACGCGGTCACATCGATCGTGAGTCTCTGGTCGTTATCGCGTGCTCCTAATCCACTATGATTTGGATATTTGATCCGAGGGGCCTCTGGCCTGATAGCACTAACCATCACGTGGGCATAGTATGGGCGTTCTACGTCGTATGTGTTGGGGATCATAGCAGAAATTCAAAATTTTCTACGCATCACCAAGATCAATCTATGGAGTAATCTAGCAACGAAGGGATGGAGAGTGCATCTACATACCCTTGTAGATCGCTAAGCAGAAGCGTTCAAGTGAACGGGGTTGATGGAGTCGTACTCGCCGTGATCCAAATCACCGATGATCCTAGTGCCGAACGGACGGCACCTCCGCGTTCAACACACATGCAGCCCGGTGACGTCTCCCATGCCCTGATCCAGCAAGGAGAGAGGGAGAGGTTGGGGAAGACTCCGTCCAGCAGCAGCACGACGGCGTGGTGGTGGTGGAGGAGCGTGGTACTCCAGCAGGGCTTCGCCAAGCACCGCAAGAGACGAGGAGGGAGAGGGGTAGGGCTGCGCCAAGAAGGAGATGTTCTCGTGTGTATGGCAGCCCAAAACCCCACTATATATAGGGGGAAGGGAGGGGCTGCGCCCCCACCTAGGTTTCCACCCCTAGGGTGGCGGCCAGCCCTAGATC